ATTTCACATTGTTTGCGGTGTGTTGATCTTCCATCCACTCCGTAAGTTCTTAGCGAGCGTGCGTCCTTGATCGTTGCGTCCTTCAACTCTTGCAGAATCTCTCTCCTCTTCTTCACACCTTATTGAGGATGGCATGGAGTCACCCCAGTACGATGGGTTCGTCGTCTTCGTCGATTTTGAGCAAAAAAGGCAGGGAGGGAGTCATTGGTGGCCGGGTGCGCTCCAGGTCAGCAGACCTTTCGTTGCCCGTTCCATCTCCTCGAGATCTGGCGCCGCTCCCAACCATCGAGTGGCACGTGTTGCCGGTCGCTATGTCACTTGCTCGATGACGTCCGGACTCAGGGTGGAGGGCTTGGTGTCGATGACAGTTCCGAAGAATCTCGCCTACATCTGGAGGATGTCTGTCATATTTGTTCCGAAGCAGCACACCATTCTCATCGGCGACAAACTGCTGTCCTTCCGCTTCTCCCATTGAGGTCCACCTATCTCTTGAGGTGTTTGGAGTGTCCTCTCATGTCTCGATCCTTGTAGATGCGTCGTGTTCCGTCACATATCTGTCCAGGTGGGCGTAGATGCCCGTTTCGACTGCTGCGGTCACTCCCCTATAGGCTGCTTGGAGGGTCCTCGATTTTATTCCCGATTGCCCTTCATCGCGCGGCGTGCTTCCCGCCGCTTGGTTAGGGCCTCCTTCAAGGCTGCTCTCGCCTGTGGAGTTTCACACCACGCCTGCGTGTGTTATCTCCGCGGTTCCTCGGGTAGTATTGCCCTTGCCTTTTCGGAGGAAAGCATTGGTGAACTCGGTGGTCACCTCCGTGGTGGTGGCCGTTTGCTCACCCAATCGTTAGTCGAGGTTGAGGATGAACAGATCAGTCACCGCCCATCGCGTTTCTTCGACCTGTAACTCCCGCCGGCTGAACTGCTTCTTTTTCGGTTTGGTCCGAACCGCTCGGTTCAGGGCGAACTTGCCAACAATGTTGTGATGTGAGTCCGCCTTGACTGGGCGTGCCTGCTGGGGGATGACAACCACGTTAGAAACTCGGCCGAGGTGTGCCTGCCGCGTTAGGATGAAGTCGAGGCGCTCGCGGTCGGTCCCTGACGCCCTGTTGTATGTGTGCCATATTCCGCCCTTGCTTGTCCCAATGTTCTTGCTAGCTTGTCGCCTGTCCGTTGCCACGGTCACAGCAGCGGCGTGCCATTGTCGTTCAGCTCATCACGCCCATTTATCCCCATGGCCCCCCCGTCCTCTCCATCCATCCTCTCTCCTGTCCGCGCAATGGTGTCCAACAGGACGTACACACACGCTTTGGAGGGGATCCTCCGCACGAGACTGTCTAGTCTTCCCCAGAACTTTCTCTTGGTGTCGGCAGTGGCGACATCGGTTGGGGCGTGCTGCAGCAACGAAGTTGACCGCTCCTTGGTGACCCGTCATCTCAAACCTCATGACCATGAGGCGATCGTCGACATAGTTCACGGTGAAAGTGGATCTCTTGCACGATCACTTTAGCCGCTATTCCCACACCATGTGGGCTTTATATACCCTTCTCCGTGCCACTGCAGAACCTCTGGAAACACACTGCTGCGAATTCCGTTGACCTGGACTCCTGGTCTCCTGCAGCCCTACCACCGATACATCTTGCCTCGCTGCCTAGGATGATGTAGGCTCACCCATATCCATTCGCCGCGGTTACAGCCAGCGTCCGCACATTCCAGCGTAGCTATCCTAAAAAGTCGACCCTGCTGTCTCTTTCGGGTGGCGCGTGCTATTCGCTTCGCCAGCCTGCGCTCCGCCCTTCTCCTCCTTTTCCTCTTTCTTCCCCGTTTGTTCTGTCTTTTCTTTATAGCTCTGCGAGCTCTCGGGGTAACGTGAATTTACCCCGGTTTTAGTCTTATTCCCAGAGAGTTGTCTTCTAGTGCCGGAGCGGTGTGGCCCTCTTGTTCTGACCTCTTTCCTTCCCTCTGTCTGGTGTACTGGCGGCCCCGGTGGTCTAGTTGGTGTCCTCGAAATCTTCTAGAGATCAGGTAAGGGGTTCGAATCCCGGCGTAAGCGAGCTTTTCTCGCAAAGTGAGTTTTTCTCTCGCTTCCGCTCCTGACCTAGTGGATAGGGTTAGTTCGTGTGTACACAGAAAGAGGGAAGAGAGCGCTGAACTATTGTCGCATAAAACATCGAAGGCAACGTACCGCAGGAGGGGAGGGTAGAGAGGGGCCCTTCTGTGTTACCACGGGTTGGAGTGAACGGCACTAGTGCTGTGAGCGCTGATTTGAAGTGAAGAAATATATATATGTATAGATCCCCATGTTTTGCGGCGACCCCATCACCCTCACCGCGCTCTCTGCCGCTGCATGGCCCCGGTGTCCAAGCCGGGGCATTCAGATTCAGTCTCATTTTGCAGTTACCCAAGCTGGCTAGGAACTACCCCGATCTCACGACAGAAGCAGTTCCCGACCGCCAAATTCACGATCACCCCAGTGCGAAGGACTGTGTACCGTCTCTTGTGAGGGCCTTCCAGGCCTTCCTCGGCCCACCCCAGCAGGTTGGGGAGCAGGCCGGGGGGGTACGACATGTTATTATGTCGCGCGGTACATGCATGAGAAGGAGCACCCTCCATATCCAGTAGTTGAAACCTCTCATTATTCATGAATAATTCGCTTAAAACACTATGCGATACAGATATATTTTCTCGCACAAGAAGGCAGCAGCACTCTCTGCGCAAATTTTTGGCGCTTCGCGGACTGCCCACTAACTCGACGGAGCGATTCAAAGGTCAAAATGTTGTGTGCCAACGCAAGTGTCGGGGGACGCGTTTTTTCATTATCCATATACATAGTAGTAGTGGTAGTGCTCCACAGACCAAAACAATTGTTACTGAAAATACAGACCCGACTAATGCACATCACGCTCAATGAGTGAAAGGGCGCGTAGCGTACTTGTGCGGCTTGGTTCTCCGTTGGGTGACGTCCATTTTCTTGACAGGGAACAGGGAACACAGGGAACTCGGAATTATTGCCTGATTGGTCAGCCGCACAAAATAATTTTCCTGGAAAAAAGAAATGCCACACACGTTCCCTGTTTGAGGTAGTTACGCCGCACCATAAGGGAGTTAAAATTGGCCAACAGACCGTACGGAACGTGGAACACGGGCTCTTCGGTGGCAATTCAGGACGTGGTGGGATGTGTGTGATCTTCGGCGGACCGGACCCTCTTTTATTCAACTGGCCAACTGTTGTTTGGATGGCGAGACATTTTCCGATCTTCTTGTCCATCACAGGAGGCCGAAGCTGATGCTCAAACTTGGGGAGGGGCCATGGTTTGCGATTCCTTACCGAACCATACTCGCCCGGGGTACCACGTCACGGACATGACAAGAAAAACATCCCCCCAACGAAAACTGCTGAAATTTATGGATGGGTGTGTGAGTGGGGGACCCCAAAACAATGAAACAGTCGCGGTTCGCGTTGTTCTGGGGCCCTACCGGCGAAAAACACCGTCGCCGCTCTGAACCGCTGAAGCTGTCACACAGCACTGCATGTGCGGCGAACCGTAGGGGCCATGCGCATTGCTTGATGGAAAGAGGCGGCGCACATCGACTCACATGCAGCAGCCGGGTACACGGGTAGCCTCCTACTCAGCAAGATACAAAACGATTGCCGTTGACGTTCGATGTTATTGGGACCCTAACGGCGAAAGTGCAACAGAGAAAGAGAGGTAGACTAAAACGAAGAGAGACTCGAGAGGACAAGGCATGAACTCTCGAGAAGACACTCACTCTCATCCCTCTGGCCCACCGCAGGCTTGAACACATGTAACGAACGGCGACATCCGATGTGCGCTCAGAAATAACAATCACGACAAAAAAGAAATAATCGTCGTTCCGAACTGCTGTGGAGATACTGTAAGTTGGTGGAGACTTTCTTTTCTGGTATGAAGTGGCAACAAAGAAGAACACGACTATCTGTGTAGACTAGAAGCACGATGGACGAACTATAATCTCAATGCGCTTGCCGTCGCGATAGATGCGCACCGCTACCGCTATACGAACGAGCAGACTGTTGTCAAACCTGACTACGACAACCGTACGACCATTGCAGCACATTCCGAGCATAACAGCAGCAACCGCAGCAGCAGCCACATGTGAACGATGGTCACTCAAGAACAAACGCAAAAAATACATAAAAAAAAAATATGTGGCGCGCAGCACGCAGGACCCTCTCTTTCGCTGTTCAACCGGCCGTTTCCATGGCGAAACAGGCAAGGAACAGTCAAGGCCGACTCTTGCCGGCCACAGGGGGCGGAAGGTGCTCAAACTCGGGGACGGCTCATGATTTGCTATTCCATACCGAACCATACTCGAGGCGCCACGAGATTTGCATTGTAGCTCGAGATCAGCATTCTAGACCGGGTAGGGCAAAATGGGTGGGGCATGTGAAACGATGAGACTGAAGCTAAATCTTCAGAATTTTTAGATTAGGTTTCCCACCCAAAACAAAAAGAGCCGGACGGGAGAGAGGGGAATAAGAATAGGCGTACGCGTTCCCCGTCATGGGACATGGCAAAAAGTCATATTGTGGTGGCAGTAGCCTCTCTCTGCACGATCAGGTCAGAAGGCCACCAGCACCCTCGTCTGTTGCATACCCTTTTTGGACGCAGTAGGAGCGCCTGTAGTAGGCCACCACTGTAAATATTGGAGACCACGAATCATACAGGTGGTTGTGGGTGGGTGGGGGACCCTAAGAAACAGTTTCTTGCAAGCAAGAACGAAGGGCGACAAAAAGAGACAAGACAGACAGCGACAGGAAACAAAGTAGAGGAGAGCGGAGTGATGAAACAAGGCACCCTTGCCGCTCTGACCCACCGGAAGATTTCCATGTACTGCAGCAAACAGGGGCAACATCCATAACCTCACATGCAGCAGCCGGATAAACGGATTGTATTCCCTCTCATTCGACAAGAACAAAAACGCCCTGGCGAACTTGCGTTTGTAGTCACAAGAAAGAAGGTCATGATGGCGTACTCATGCTTGCCTTGGGAAATGCGCATCGCTACGCGAGCAAGGCGTTCACCCCTCGCATAGCTTCCTATGCACATGAATGTGCTACCATCGACCCTATCCCTAAAGCTCACACAGTTACACCCGATACATTCAAGCATCATCCCTCACCAGCAAGATTCGAAAAAACTGGTTCTTAGTGGCGAAGCGAACTCTCTGTTGTTGTTCCTCTCCAACTGCTGTTCGCCGATGGCGACATGGCGACACAAAGTCTAGGCTTCGTCACCGGTGTTTTCCACCGCAGCGGAAGCCACTCAAACTCGCGGAGAGGGGTCGTGATGCAATTACCTGCGGACCCGTACTCCTGGGCGCCATGAGATGTGCACTACTGTAGCTCGAGATCACAGTATCATCATATATATGGCAGTGGGCAACAAAATACAAAAAAAAATCCGGCGGACCGGAATCTCTTCGCCCAACTGTCCAACTGTTGTTCGGTGGCGACACAGACAAAGTCCATTCTTGCCCGCAACAGGAGGAGGAAGCTGATGCTCAAACTCGGGGAGGGGTCATGGTTTGCGATTCCCTACCAAATCATACTCGGGGCGCCACGTCATGGACATGGCAAGAAAAACATCTCCCCAACAGCTTGTGCGGTATTGGTCTTTTCGAGGCCAGTCTTGCCGAGAAACGACGTGGGCGCGTCTTGGGCAACATAGCTGCTGCAGCAGTTCCACGGGAACAAAGAGCCGACATGGCCAGAGGCCCAGGGAGGCCTCTGCATGCCGAGAGAATTTAGCATATGTCCTATGCTTCGCTCTCGAACCAACTCCCCTATACCGTTTTATGTGTAGGATGTTTGCTACCTACCCTGAACACTCAGTACCCAGCTCCCAATTCAGCTCTGGGCAAAACCCGACCCGTCATCATCATCCCCTTGCGGTATTTCTTCTAGGACGTGGGGTACGCTCGTATGTCTTGACTAAGTGGCGAATATGGACGAGCAGGGTCTCGTGTGCTCGGAGCAACACGCCACGAGTATGCCCGGATCATGCTGCATTGGAGCCTTCGGCAGTCGGCTTCTCTCCCTCTTGGTTTGACTGGTTGCACACAGGGAAGCAAGACGGGATGCGTGGTTAAGGGACTCGGGGCAACTCAACACAGATATCGCATGCACATGATACCTGCGTCGATTCAAGCAAGTTCGTGGGACGCGATGGGCAAGCAAACAGAAGCTGCCCTACAGCGGAGCAATTAAACGATTGTGTCCCGTATTCTCAAAAATCCACACAACATTTCCACCGCCACTGAACACTCTTCCCAATCGACGTCGCAACAAGGGGCCGAAACAACTCTATTGCCTACGAGACTCGCCTACTTCATAACTGGCGAAAAAGGAGTCCGCGTACGCGACATTTGCTTCGTTGGGGCCTCTCACCTCGGTCAACATTTGCCTGAAGTTCCCCAAGATTTCGTTTTCCTTCTGTTGCTTCTCTTCAAACATGATCAACGCCAGAGCACGACGTTCCTCGGCATTGAAGACTTGGTTTTCCTTCCGAAGACGAACGGCGTTCATGCGGGCGTGGCGGCTGCCGCTCATCACGTACCTAGCACGTTGGGGGGTAGGAGACGGTGGTCACAAGAAGAAACCCAAATGGTCAGGGAAAGCAATCATGCTCGTCCAGCCGGGTAGGTAGGCTTCCAACAACCGACAACATCCTCTTACATTTAACTTTTTCGATGTACCCCAGTACTTCGAGTTATTTTTATTCTTGGTCCGGATGATCATTGTACTCAGTTACAAGAATCCTCAACAAAGTATCGAATCTGTTTACAAAGCAAGCTTCTCACTGTTGTGGACAAGCACCAGATCATTGACTCCTCACCATTGTCTGCCTGTACCAGAGCTCCTGGTACCATCGCCATTGAAACTGCCGTGAGTTTCTGCGCACAATAGTCGTACCGTACTCTCTCAGGCGTCTATTCGATAAAGTAGTACTACATATGCCTGGAGATCCGCCGGAAAGCAGTAACGGGGTGTCGTTTACTCTCGCAACGCACAAAATAAATAGCAGCAGAGCCAACAATCTACTTGGGAACAGGAATCGCGACGGAAATGCGACTCACCCGGAATCCTCCAATTTCTCGATCTCTTGGCCAGCCCAGCCCACTTCACCACGGCGAGGAATGCGAAGACCTTTCTGCACGAACTGGGCAATAGCGGCACCCTCTCCTGGTAGAAGTGCCCCACCGTAGTTGACACCCCTTTCGCCTTCTCCCTGCAACTCGTCGAGCTGCGGGACAGGCATAGGTCCTGCGTCTTCGTCGCTCTCCTGCGAGAGTTGCACGTGGTGCCAGAAATGCAACATCAGCCTTCAGTAGCACACGTCGAAATCGTGCATTGCAGGTTATGCCAAGGAGAATGCCATGCAGCAAGAACAAAAACGAGTCGGTATAATTTCAACGGTTCAACAGCCAGCGATCCCGACGGTTCCTGGATAAACTCTGTCCACTTTTGTTCTGGCGGTTTATTCCAACGGTCGAAAATCGGTGTGGAGTCTTGGAATTCTGAAAACTGCACTCAGGACTAGTATGCACTCGAGGGAAACAATACCACGCTACCCTCGCATGAGCAGTGAGGATAAAACACCGCAGAGGATAAGTTACGAGCTGCTCAGGTAGCTCCGCATGGAATTCGATGAGATGAAAAAAAAAAAAAAAAACGCAGGAAACACGGTCGGTCGGCGGAGCTTCCTTTCGGAGAAATATGGCATACACGGGGTTGGGTCGGATTAGACAGGTTTCTGCCGCGGTCAAGCCAATCCCGTTGATGTTCTGCATTCGGTCCTCGGGTTGATGTGTGCCAAACGGTGGCATCTATTTTCTATAATAGAAAATATTCAGCTCCATAGCGACCAATGGTAGTAGAAGCGGGGCAGAGACGGGCAACGCGAGTACCACAACGCTCCCCAGCAGGTGTGATAGGTGCACAGGTAGCGCATGTTTGCTGTGGCTTTCGTTTAGATGGCGGACCATGGTACAGGTTATCTGTCCTGCGCATGTTGATAAGGTTATCAGAATTTGGGTTACGTGCGAAAGCGTTGATTTTCAAGGTCGTTGTGTGCAATATTTCATGTTGGAAAAGCTGCTGCTGTGATCTCTGGAATAGATAACAATTATTCACTCCGGGGCAAAATTGAAACAGGCGCTTCCGATAGTGTCTGCGCCAGGTGAGTTGGTTTGTTTCCATTGAATAACCATACGGGATGGTTTCCCGCGCTCAGAGTTTGTTTCGCATGTGTCCTGCTGGGCCATCTTGTACGTCATCAGGGACCCCTGCTATGTCATCGCAGGGGTGATAGTAGCATGTGCTCTTCTGGGCTACATGCGTGTCATATACTCCGGAGGTGTGATATATTAAGTAACCCGGGCGATATTTCGGCTCCTTGTTTGACATCCAAAAACATTAGGACCAGGTGGGGGGATGTCCTGTATTATGTGGGTGTGGTATCTTGTGTTGTATACGGAAATTGGTTCGCTTATCTACGGTCCAATTTGTCGACCCGTCGTTATACATTTGGCAAGATCCCAGATAAAATGAGATGTTAATACAAGATAAAAACATCCAAAAACATTAGGACCAGGTGGGGGGATGTCCTGTATTATGTGGGTGTGGTATCTTGTGTTGTATACGGAAATTGGTTCGCTTATCTACGGTCCAATTTGTCGACCCGTCGTTATACATTTGGCAAGATCCCAGATAAAATGAGATGTTAATACAAGATAAAAACTTGGCGAGACTGCTCTGTTTCAGGCGGGCTTACCGGCTACTTAGGGTCCAACGGTAGGGCTCCCGGGCCTCAAATGCTTCAATTCGAACCCAAAAGACCCCAAACCTTAAACTTCCCGTCGCTATGTTGATAGCTCGGAAGAATCCCGCAAACTATTTTCCGTTTTGTGCGATCAAGCCTATTTATTGCTCCGGTTCCACCCCGTATTTTCTGTTCTAGAGTTGAGTGTCAAATCCATTTTTTGTGGGGTCGTCAGTGCAAGTATCGGCCAAATAGCTGCAATCCACCCGCTCTGGGTAAGACGTTTTATTTTGGTTATGGGCAAAGTTATCAGCGGCGTGCCGGCATATACCCACATAACACCCACATAACCTTGGAGCCCTGGATGACTGGCGAACGAAAATGAAACAAAAAAACGTTTCTCGAATCGTTATCAAGGACGTGCACATATGCGTGCAAAGAATAAGGGTCCAACTCCAAAAGCCGCATGAAAAAATGCGGTGGAACAAAAAATGGGCGTTCACCCTGAACTAGCTAATACGGTACCGATTTCCGGGGGTTCAGGCTGTGTCGAGCACGTTAGCAGCCAGTCAAGGGCCACGGAACAACCAAATGGCCTTCCGTGTTTGATGAGTGAGAGACAGCAAACGAAACATCAGCAGTTTTTCCATACAGAAAAAGCTACGGTTTAAGAGGGGGTGGTGACAAGCCAATGTCCTTTTCTTAAATCCGTCTTTCTCTACACCGTGTTTGCTACGGAACATTATCTTGAAGCGTGAACATGGTTTTAAGACAATGTTCTCCTAAACCGCAGCACTTCGAAGGGCCGTGGAAGATGGACGCTCTTGTTTCAACCAGCTGCCATAAGAGTTTGTGGAGGGCATGTCATTCATGTTACATAGTAAGCGCCAGCACCTTGTGCTATATAGCTCCACACATAGCTCGATCTGTTTGTTGGCAAGCAATATGTACCCACCGCAAGTACCGGGTACACTCCTGATACCTGGCCATTGGAAATATACCATGATGTCGTGTGATACCATTTTTGCACGTGGATCAACGCGTTCGCTGTACGTAACTCATACCCACACCTCTTCTACAACGCGAGCCCACGGACCCTACCTTCCACACACCCAACCACACCTGGCTACGTGGCTGTTTCTCAGAGGTTCAATTTAAGAGAAGCTCTCAGAGTTGAGACATGTTCTCTTTTGTATCGATTTTGGTGGTGACAACGCCGTTGGACTTTCTCAAATCGGTACGTAGTCTTAATTTTTTTCTCTCAAACCATAGCCGCTCCTGCTGTGCACTAGGAGGAAAGACGTTTTTCAATTTACAAATCTCCTGTGAAAGAATGCAATGCAAGAGGTAGCACGGCACGAATCGTGTGCAGGGTCTGTAGTCCGCATGCCCGGGAACTAGGTACAACCAGAAACAGTCGTGGCACGTCCTCTTCTTTCGTCTTTTCCATCATCAGCAGCAGACCAGCCGTAACCAAAACAATTATACTGAATGAATTCGGAGGCTGTGCTCTGGAAATAACGGCTGACCCACCTCCTGATGGCGATGACCCTGAACATCAGCTTTGAATTGTGCCGCCTCGGCAGCGTCCAGTTCATTCATCTCCTCCGGGGGCATAGTGATCGTGTTGAGCCCAGTGGCGTTGACCTCAACCTCGGCAACCCGGCCCGTGTGTTCGGGGGATGTCGACCTCGGCACCTTGGGTTTCCCTTGCTCCTGCTGGGGAAGTCGTTAGACAATCGAGAGAAGGAAGGAACAGGAAACAGTCGGGTTTGACAAACATCGTTTGTCGAGTCGCCATTTACACGCCAGAGGGCATCCCATATGCGTTTAGTTGACGGCTGCCAAAGCCCAATGTGCCATGGGTGCACGAACAAATATGTGCATGCAATCTTAATCTTCCTACCTGCCCAACGAACATGACCAGCAAATACGGAAACCGTGCAGCTCAGCACAGGACGCGTGTCGAACGACAACAATCAGTAAAAGGCTCGCGGGGGGGGGGGAGATAAGTTCGCGCAGGTGGGAGCGAGCGGAGAACCAAGGTTCGTATGAATACCGGCGTGTTGCGCAGGGTGTGGGGTGTCATAGGACAGCTACGATTCCTTGCATTTGCAGCCATGAGTCCACATTTGGGGGTAGGCTATGGACCGATGGTATCGCAAGTCTGGTTCAGTCCTTCGCGTGGAAATCGTGGAGCACCGCCTTCACACAGGCCTAGAACTTATGTCCAACGTAGGTTTGCAAATCGAACCGAATGAGCTTTTGACCACGGCAAATTGTTCACTTGCATTGAGGAGCAGGGAGGAGGTGTACCATACACACATTTGAAAGGCATATTATTGTCAAGACAACGGCAACAACGACAACGACGACAACAAGAGCAGGATCTTGATGCGGACTCTCCACGGTTCAGCAGCTCGTGTTTTAACCCCTGGGGATTTTTTTTTGCCCCGCCCCCCTCGCAGTTGAAGGGACATGTAATCCTTGTCCCTGGGATCAAAACCTGTGCGAGAGGCCCGGGAATGGGCCTTGTACGCCATCCCGGAGCCAAAGGTCCACACCCGCCCGCGCCCCGCGTCAACCATATGTCTGAAAAACCAAGGGAAGGCACCCTGGTCTCGGAGCGTGGACGGTATTCAGACGTATAGGATTACTCGTTGAAAATCGGCTGCAAAACTGGAGATGACGTGGCGTCTGAATGTACGTTCAACAACACGTAACACAGGTAACGATCAAAGTAGGATACCTTACAAGCAGTCATACTTCAACGCTGCTCATGTGCCGATAAACTAAAGTCGGATGGGTACAAGGTAAGAATACGGTCTCGTTGGAGCCTGCGATGGATGGCTTGGGGCTTCAAGTTGGTGAGAACGAAGCCTTGGATGTTTCTTGTTTCAACCGCCAAGAGAAGATACCCGTTCTTTGGCCTAACCGTGAAACAGAGACCGGACGACCTCCTGAAATGGAAGCGCTCCCAGTCGACACGTTTGGAAGCAAAACAATGACGAGCAGGGTCCCCAGGTCCCTAGGCTGCATCTGCCAAAAAATGTCCGCTTGGTGTGTATCTCCTGGTTCTATGTACAGGAATATCACACACGGTGGGCAAATAATAACGCGAGGCGCTCCATCACAACTTCTCAGTCACCTTCCATGCTCTATGGTCTGTGTTCGCTCAACTACATCGTTGGTACTAGAGATCGAGAACCGTGTTCGAAAACGTTGTGCTGAGCAAACTTAGGTTTTGAACCTAAATGCGTTTACCTGGCACAATCAAAAACCTTGTACTTGCGTTCTCACCGATTTGCTTGGAGACGAGTGACGCTTCCGGTTCTGATTGGCGTTTTCATCACTGCTGGTGTCACCGCTCCTGTCATTGCTGCTGCTGCTGCTGCTGCTGTCACTGCTGCTGCTGCTGCTGCTGCTGTCACTACTGCTGCTGCTGCTGCTGCTGCTGCTGCTGCTGTCACTTTCGGAGGAAGACGAGACTGACGGAGATCGTCTTCGGCGTGGCCTCCGCTTGGCGCTTTTCTTTTGTGATGTTTTCGCAGGCCGGGCGTCTTTGCGGCCACTCTCCCTCCGTCGGCTCTTGCTTTGGATTTTCTTGGAGACAACAGCTACCAGGGCGGGCTTCGGGTCTTTCTTTTTCGGAGGAGAAGGAGACCTGTTCCATACTCCTCGGGGCGCTCTTGCATCCGCCCGAAGCTTCAGGCGGTGCTCCACCCACGATTCGTCCCTGGGGGCACCGTTGTTGCCTTGCGCTCTTCCCCCTCCTCCACCGCCCCAGCCTCGACCACCGCCGCTCGGGCGGCCAGTGTCGGCTGCATGGAGTTAAAAACGTCAGCGTGAGCGCTATTATGGGAGCCTGGTGCATCAATCGAATGCTTGTCTGAGTCTTTTTTCGAACAACGTTTACGACATACAACTAGATGTTCCGGGCTATAGGTGCATGCGACATCCGATACGCTTTGTGTGGTTTGCCACCAGCGCCAGGTTGGGGAAGGCACGAACAAGCGAGGAGCGTGTAGCACCACTCTTCGGCGAGCATACTGTACATGGCACGGAACATTTTCTTCTGTACAGAAGCGTGAAGTAGCACAAGCAGCGGCAGGCGCTCGCACAACCAATGGGTCTGTGGGTGGAGGACAGCATACAAAGTGGAAACACATGTGAACGAGCCGGGGCGCAAGACCCTCAAAGCAGAAACAGATACTTTGAAGTATATTGAAGTACTTGGTAAAAGAGATATTGCCACACCTGGTCCATAGACGCCGCCATTGCTACGGTCTATTCTATGAGTGTTGCTGTCGTGCACAGTGTCCGTTTCAACAGGGTTTCCCCATCGCGAAGGTCTCCTTTCATCCGGTGGACGAGCTCGGCTTGACCGCTCCGAGCTTACACTACGCCGATAATACGCATCGCTTCCTCCGCGCCTTCCCCGCTCCCTGCTTCCTTCAACGCGGCGCGACCTTCCTCTGTCTCCCCCCTGCTCTCGACGAGTACCCCTCTCTCCAGATCGCTCGCGGTCGCGGCCGTCCCTTCCGCTGCTGGGCCTGTTTCGGTCGTCTCGTCCAAAGTAGTCAGGGCCTGTTCGGAGCACAACCGAGAAAACAAGCCCGAGGTACCTCTTTGAGATGAAGGAATCCACGTCCGTCTGGCCGTGACAGCCTTAGCATTCGTCGTTCGCCAGCCGTCAAGCCAACTGCTGCGTGTGATGTGTCAAAACTAGGTTTGACGCTTTCACTGGTGTAGCTGGCGCCAGAAGCACAACACTTACACGTCAAGAAAATCCTGTGTAACATCCTGGGATCATCAGCTTGATTGTGTGCTCCCGTACCTCAAAGAATGCCGAGGGTGTTGCTTTTTGTTTTTTGTTTCGTTTTTTCCGCCAATATTGTGTGGCCGCCCTGTGGGCACTCAGGAAACCCAACGTACATATTCCACCAACATTGTTGCTGCACATGCTGCCGTTGTTGTTATTCGTGTATTTCAAAACCTTCCCACCAACTAAAAAGTTTTCTATCGGCTCCCCTGCAGTCCTCCGAAAATCAGACGAGTTGCACTGCTGTTGTCGCAGAGATAAAGCGATCAGCGACGCCAACACGCCGTATGGCGCACCAAGACTCTGAGCACCAAGCGACACGTTTTGCTCTTTCCGGTCGAAAATCACCCCGGGGTTGAGCCTTGCCTTGTAACGAAAGCATAAGATAACCGTGTTACGTTCCGAAACAACCCATGACCACACAAAGAAGGCAAAAGCTAACGAAAACAAACGGAATATCGGATGCTCTCTAGATGGAGTTGAGGCCCGACCTGGTGGGCTCAAGCGCGAGAGGTCGCGATAAATGAGCTTTTTATTGCGCATATCTAGCTCGCTTTGCGCTACCAGTTGACCAACGAAATTTGAGCGTTCACGAACTGCTTTCTAGGTTTCAAGCAGCGGGCTCCCTCAACAGGGGAGCCGCGGAAGAGATTGGACGACTGGCTCCAGTCTCCGGATTCAAAGTACAATCGCAAACGACAGCAGAAATTGCGAGGCATTCCTGGCGGTGTTTGTTTCTTTCAGATAAGCATCAAAGACACCAACCTGCTGACCAACGAATACAAGTTGCATAAATGCAGTCTAATAGCGGGACAAACAAATAGAGCATGCTCTCTGAGTCAGCGGTCAGCAGGTTCCTCCAACAGGGAGGCCACGAAGAAGATTGGACCACAAAGATCCAATCGCTCGATTCAGATGCCATATACATTGTATGATACTCGCAAACGGCAAAGAACGCCATAGGCAGCAGTTTGCTGGTGCGTGACCGCGCTACCAGGCTGGCCAAGGGTACATGTTTCAGTCCTCGTCTGTCCGAGGGATGCACCAACAGAGAAAATAACCAAGGCGCACGGCCTTCTCGGCCCGCTACAGAGCACAACCGTGTGCGTGCACCAACAGAGAAAATAACCAAGGCACACGGCCTTCTCGGCCCGCTACAGAGCACAACCGTGTGCTGTTCACCCAAACTTGCACCCCCCGGTTGGGTTTTTGTCGCGTGGCAACGACGGTGTAAAACAAGCCGCCCCACCCGGTGTTTGCCATCGGGGTTGGGTTTTCGTCGCTTGGCAGCGACGTTGTAAAACAAGCCGATCACTTCGTGAGCTCGGCAACCAGGTTACCGCTTTTTTTTTGCCTTTGGTTTTTTTCTTTGCGGTAACCATGAATGGTGGTCGAGCAGATTATGTTATGTGGGGTCCATAATCCTCACTCCGCGCAAAGAGGGTTATCGCACCACGTTGTGGTGAATTGGTCAAGCACCCTTGAGCAGCTACACAGTGTTTACAAGTGTCTCTGGAAGTGAAAGCACCAGAAAATAAATCAAGTCATACGCAGGTGTCATCCGTACGCAAGGAAGTAAGCACAAGATGCTGAACACCCTCAGCAGGATGCAGCGTACCCTTCATGCGACTCGCCGAGTACCTCACGACGCTTCGCGCTTGGTGATGTGAGAGCCTGGTCCGGTGAGAACCCGGCGTGCTCTGCCCCGGCTTTGTAGGGATGCGAGGTCAATGGTCTAACGACCACGGCATGCACGACTACGAGTCCCCCCCCCCCCCCCCCCCCCATTACCTTTTCGGCCTGGAAGCATGGTTTTGTTGATTTAGCCCCGGGGTAGATCGTTTTCGACAAGAATAAACAAGATCCCCCCGGGTATTTCAATTTCCCCCCGGGGTACCTGTTTCCTCACGAGTTCTCCCCAAGGGGGATGCATTTCTCTTATTTTCTGAGTCGATTTTGTTGCATCGCGGAGCACAAAAAGCATGATATGGGACGGAAAATTCACTTGCAGGTGTGGGCTTCGAGCGAGATTTAGGTGTACCGTTTGTCACTTGGCCCTCGC